ACGAACGAATTAACTACTTGAAGACAAATTTTGCACGTAGACTAGCTTTAGCGCTTTGCGCTCAAGGTTTTCAAAAAAAATATAAGAAGCTTATGTAACCATAAAGTCGGAGATTTCAAGCCTTCGCGACCAGGCGTCATAACTGTAGTTACGAGTTGAGGTTTTTAAGTGTAAGCCATGTCCTCTTGGAATTATCTGCACGTTTCACCGATATTGCGTGTAATTTAATATCCTGACAAAACTATAACAGCTCCAATATTAACAACGCGTTGAGATTTTTCTTAACCCCTTGCACTACAATGATGAGCTAGACTCGTCATCAGATTTTAATGACTAACTGCATAGTGACGAACTATATTCGTCATGCAAGCCAGTGTCGTACGTCACACTTTATCGTCTCATTTAATTTTTATCTTGAATTTTTTTTTCATTTTGATCTTCCATAATGAATTACAGTTACATTCAGATCAATAATATCCTTTTAAAAACCTACGCTCAAAAACCTTAACAATGAGAACTCAACCATAGTCTTCATTAATATCAATCGAAACGTAGCACATATACTCACTCGGGGTGGGGCAAGTAAATGGGAACACCTACATATCTTTACAGTTTATAGGCACGTGAAGAAATTGTTTCAGATAACGTTATACTTTCAAAGAAACGAATGAAATAATAATGATACGATACTGATACGACAAAAAATCATTTTAAAATATTAAAAATATTTGATGTAATATGTAGAAAATTTATACGAAATTAAAATATATAAATTTATATGATAAGAATCCAGCTATGAGCGTTTTGAAGACACATGGTTAAAGGGTATATTATACATTGCAAAAGTATTCAAATATTGACTGTAACAATAAAAGCAAATGTTTAATGTAACGTTAATACGCCCGCGGTAATGACTTTGTGGTGATTTCTACATCTGCAGAGAGTTTAACTGCGACGATATTGTGCTGCAATATTTTCTCAACGCAGTATCCCTGCCATTTAATTGTCGTTCCATTTCCTCGCACAAATGCTCGATAGTATTTAAATCAAAACTTTACTGTGGATGAGAATAATTCAGAAGTGTTATATACCTCACATAAAGGCCGACAAGGAAATAGGTATACAAATTTTTACATTCTGTTCAACCTAAAAGTTACTATAAATTCGATTTCTTCGTATCAGGTGTTCACCTATACAACTAGTAACGATTTTCTGATAACGATATTAATAAACGGAAATATTGAAAATATTCCACGAAATTTGACAATCTCCCAAAAATATGTGGTTCACACAATTGGATGATAGAATGGTACCGCCATCTGACGCACCCAATAAAATGAAAACAATAATCCTCCTCGTTGCTTGAGAATCGAATACTACGATCGTGTAGCATAAACAAACTCAAAAGTATCATGTCGATGTATCATAACACTCCACCTGTTGTCTAGATATTTATTGTATACCGAATACAATCGATATTGTCGGGCTGACGCCATCAATTTCTCAGTTCTCCCATAATTCGAGCAATACACTCAAAAGCATCAATTGTTTGGGTATAGTCATCAATTTAGTCACCTAGTCGACGTATACAAAACTTTGTTCTGCCATCAGTACGTCAACGAAAAAACTGTTGCAGAATTTTGAAAACTTTTCTGCAATTCCAATGCTGTCAATTCTGATAAGCAAACTAAAAATATTTATGCAAAATCCCATGTTCATGAATAAAGAAACAGAAAATTAATTGAAACTCTTTTTTTAAAAAAGTTTGCCCTATTAAGGCAACTTTACAACTGAAATTCTTCAATTGTTTACTTCTTTCAGAAATAAAGAAAAACTTTGATCTTAGAAGAAATATAACTGAATTATTAGTTTTACCTTTTTCGTAAACGAAAAAAGGTTTTGATCTTACAGAACACAATTTAATAAGTTACAAGAAAATGTTGATGAAAAAGGGCCGAAAAATTAATCAGAACCGATTGTATGGTTGAATCGCTTGGGGTACGCTTCTATTCGGCGTGCGGCTCAGTGTGTTAAAAATTTACGACAATGGAAGCTGTGCTTGAACCGAATGAAGTCACATTGAAAAGTCAGCAAGCTGAAAGATTCGGGGAAGCAATACCACAATACAATCTTAAATACCTATAAAATTGTTACGCTCCGATTATTGTTACGAAAAAGCCGTTTCATCAAAGATTCAGTGACAGTAAGTACGTCCGTATGCTTCTTTGTCAATGAACAGTGTTCATTACACCGTTAAACTAATGTTTATAAAAGGCCCATGCATGCAACAACGGTACTTTCTTCAATGCAGAAAGCTCCTCCGATTTACAAACTTAATCCAACCGATACTTTTTACATTTTTCTCAATCCTTATACTACTAAGAATATATCTTCCAAACAATTTCGTGCATTTCGCAAAATTACAAGAATTGCAGAGGTTTGAAGGACATGGCCTCATTGGCGACGCGTAGACGCATAGAACGCTAGTGCCCCAGTTGCCATAAATCGACCCCTTTTCATCATTTTACCTATCGGTAATTCCTCCTCCATTATTTGTACCCTAAAATTTACATTCGGACTTTAAAAACTTCCCTAGTAAACAACTCAATTTTACTTTGATATGGTCTGTACACAGTCAATTTATACTTGTCTCCTAAACGATGCAATAAAGTACATATTCGAAACTGTTACGACTAATTATCGATTTTGTTCAAAACAACATACTAAATTATATAAGAAAAAATACACACACGTATAAAAGAAGTTACGAAATGAATCTTCGGAATAATGGCTACTCGGATCTACCTACCGACAAATGGCAAGGTACTGAAAATCATTAAACCAATTTATGATTCACTGGCATCAGATAAATTGTAGAGACAATGACTCAGTGCTTTTGCGTTAAATAACAATGAATCTTTGAGTTCATTGATATGGATCTCTTCTACGATACATTTTGCCTCATAGAAGAAAATATTCCATTGTTTCAGTATTTGATTGAGCGCCTATTTTAACGACAAAAGTAATACAAATAATGGGAATATAGATTGGAATGAATCTAAAAGTATTTTCCCAAAAGTTTGAACGAGGAAACGAAAAATTCGTAAGTAGAATATTTCAATTTTAACACAGGAATATAGCCTGTGAACGACTGTCGTTGTGTTCATATTGTGCACCGATATTTGTACACCATTTGCGTACATTACACTGATAACGCGTTAGATGCACTTGGACAAACTATGGACAAACTATCGCCAGATATGCACTCGGCTCTTGTTAGTACGTATGTTTTTCAGCGCGAAACATTGGCGTACTACAATCGATCGAAATACCGAATACATTTCGTCCAAACTGGGACCATTCTTGAAATAAAATTATTGATCAGTTAATTATTGCCCTAATTAATTGTGTTTACTCGTTATTAATATAGTACTATTCCTGAATTTCCGTAATGATTTTCGAATACGTAATAAACTCAATTAACGTAATTAACACAATAACGTAATTTGGAGTAGTTTCAAAAGAACGAAAATTAAATTTCGATATTGACGATTTCATTACGTTCCGGAATAAAATAAGAACTTTTATGTAGAGCTATTAATGTTCTCATTTTAACGAAACTTTAAGCTTACGTATACATCGAATTCATCAAAACCATTCTCCAGAATTCAAACGAAAAAATTCCAAGAATAATATTCAATAAGATTATTTTTAATAGACAATCACAGAAGTATGATACGTGTAAATTATACATGTAAATTATGTACGTGTTCGCTGAATATATTTGTTATTTTCATCTTTTAATCCTGTATCGGAAAAGTTCTGCTGCGAATAATATCAGTTTCAAACCACGCGGATGACCTACATTTTAATCAATTTCATAATTTATTTTTAAATCTACGGTCAGTTGAATAGGAATCACTCTATATTTATTAGAATTTCCACCTCGTTAACTTGTGAAATGAAACTTATTATTATGCACGGTATTTATAACAGAAAACACAGTCGATTACTCTATATTTTTCGTGATTAATAATGTTTCGCGCCGATTTCGTTTTACACTAACGTTTTTCTATTTATGAAACTTTCAAATCAAATAAAACAGTGTTACAGCATATTGATTGTATGCGCATGTTTCCATAGACAACAATGACATTATGGTGCCATATACCGATGACAACGTCGGCAACTCCACTACTACACGTTTATTTTCACGAAAAGATAAGCGCGAGTCCTAATGAGGCAACTCGTCGCAATATAAATTATACAAGAATGAATTTCGATCAGGCGTAATAATAAACTCGAACAATATTACGCGACTCGAGCGATGCGGTTCTCCATGTGCATATGTTTTTCAATGTTTTCGAAATTGTATACACGCCATTCGAAACCGGAAGAACAATATACTAGAGAAATTGATAGATGAATAATAATAATTGTTATCACTGACCTTCTTTACTTGAAAGTGTTCCGGCCGTAAGTTTTCGACGATTTCCTGATCAGGTTTGACGGGTTGAGGTACCGACGATCGGAACCCGTCGAACACACCTTTAATTGTAAACTTCTTCATTACGGACCGAAGATAACACCTAGAGGATCACATGTGCAGCAGCGACACAAATTCAACTCCCCCTAAAGTTTCAGAGTCAAAATATCAAGTGATTCCCTTCTCGACGTTGCTCAATTAACAAAGATGAATAGAAATTCGGCAATGACAAGGAGTTTCTGTCACGTTCTATCTACGTGTTACTTCTTTCGCGGAAAACTACCGATGACATCTTCCCGTATCAATGGCAAATGTCACTCATCGATATTTCAGTCTTGAGGGACCTCCTCTACATTTTGACAGAAGAACGATGACGTCGATGAGACACGGCACATCTCGATAACGCGGTGTCCTCGTAGAAATAAAGACGCACACGTTACCGTAACCGATTGACGACGCGTTTTTGCAAACGCTTCGTGACTAGAATTGTTTTCGTACTTGACAGCAATGCAGTGTTGTTTAACCGTGTCAGGATCAATAACTGGCAACAGGCTCATGTGGACTCTCGCACGACCGCGAACGTACTCTGTGCGCAATCGTGAACAAAACTTTATGGCAGATTTTTATGCCAGGTTCTTACGGTTCTAAAGATGGCAAACGTGCGATATGTTACTATTCTAGGGATATTCACGTGCCTGCCGTTGGACTCACTATTTAGTGTATTTCGCAAATTTGTTATGAAAAGATTATTTTGTGCTTCTATCCATCCATTATTTATATTTGTTATTTGCTTAATTCAATTCTATACAATATTATATGTTACTGTATAAAATCGTGGAGCTTTCAGAAGAAACTTGCGTTTCCATGAAAATAAATATGTTATTATGATTTTGAAAGTTGTGATGAATTATTTGTTTAACCTCATTTCGCTGCAAAAGAATTATTCATATTATTTAAAATGAATCGCCTAAATTTATTGTGGTAATTACTGACTGATAATAACTGCTCTGCCAATCATACATTAAAAATGGTCTAGTATCCTTTATGCTGATCTATTCCAGTCTGGACAAATTTTCTTGAGCCGCGCTACTTATGAAAAATAAAATTGTTTTGCACAAAATTGCTTGTATTTTTAATTTATTGTAATGTTACTTAATAATTATTTAAAACAACGTGCAGTAATTTTGTCAAAAATTAGAAGTTTTTATAAAATTTAAATGAATATATATATAGCTTGTTTAATTAAAATAAACTTTTTGCTTCACATTTGGATACAAAAACGGCTTACAGAAATAAAATCGTACTTAACGTTTTATTTCTTTTATAGTTTTATTTAACTTTATATAGGAATAAATAAATTCTATTTACTTTTCCACCGTCAATGACGTTATAGCTTACAGACATGTTGAATCACTTACATCGAACGTTAATCATCAAGTGACATAAGTCATAATGAATAAAAAGTAGTGTATAATTTTTTATTTTATTCCTACAAGGAATACAATTAAAAGTAAGTAAATATTACCAATACAACATAACATGGCAACTGCTTCAAATTCTTCAAAGGAAGAAGCACAAATTAAATCACAAGGTTAGATTACATACTGTTTTATGACCCACTTCTACAAACATCTGTTTTCAATATAAATTACGAGTATGAAACAGTTGAAATTAAAACTTTATTTAAGAAATAATTACGAAGTTTCTAAGTAATAATTATTTAATGATAATAAATATACAATATATGTAGTAGTATAAATACAGTAAAAATTGTTGATAACAATATTTATTAATAATGAATTTAGTATAACACTGTAATATCATTCAATTATTATTTAAGATGTGCAAACAATGACTTGTGTTGGACGTACACAAGGTGATGGAATGGAAAATGTGACGATGGAAAAAATTGAAATCAAACAAACAAAATGCCGCCTTGGTGATACACTTATTTATCATCCAACAAATTTGAAGCAATCAAGTTTAATTCCACCAGTTACTCCAAATGGTCCAATTATAAATTTAGTACCAAAACATATTTCTAATGTTAAAGATGAAAAGCATATTTTAAATTCTTTAAAATCAAAAGAACCAAAATTCGTTCCATATGAACCATATAAAGCTGCAGTTAATCCAATCATTCCATATGACAAAAAAAGTAAAAAATTCCAAAGAAGCAATTTAAATATGCATGTAGCAGTTTCTCAAGTTGCCGCAATGAAAATTCATGAAATAGAAGTTCCAGCTTCTGAGATCATAAAAACAATAGAAGATAAATCTTTGGAATCTGAGTGGCTAAAGGAAAAAAAGGCATATGAAGCAGAAATAAAAAAGTTTAAGGAAGAAAACAGTCAACTTGAAAATCAATTGAAATTTCAAGCTCAGGTATTTACGTTACGTATTATATATGAAATTGGCTTGCATTAAATAATATAGAAAATAATACATTCAAATAATTTTAATTTATTTAATAAGGTAAATGGAGAATTAAAGAACTTGTTAGTAGCTGCTGTAGGTGAAGATCTTGAAACAAAAGTTCATTTACTGACTGAAGATAAATTACAACTTGCTAGAGCTCTTCTAAATTCTGCTCAACATCTTTCAACTCATCAAGAACAAACTGAGTGGTTAGCTGGTCAATGTGAAGTTTGGAGAAGTAAATTCTTAGCCAGTAGGTAAATGAAAATTATTCAACAAACACACTTAAGATGAGTCTCATAGTATGTCTATATCTAAAATAATTTAAGAATTATACTTTAAATTTGAATCAGTATGATATTGCAAAATCAGTTATTTTACAACTTTTATTTACATTTAATTAATACCACTGTTATGTTTTCTTGTGACAGTTTAATGGTAGAAGAACTTGCAAAATGGAAAGCAGCTCTTTGTCAAAGGACAACAGATCTTCAGGAAGCAATAAAAAGGCTTTTAGAAGATCGTAATCACATTCGTGACATATCTCTTAAAACATACAGGTATAACGTGTAATGAAATGTGTATCTTATTATAAATATTATACTATCAGTATTTGTCCATTTTAGAACACTCAGTATTCTTCGTGAAAATTTTGATCCCATTGGAGCTGCCTCTTCTAAGAGACATGAATTACCAAGTACAAATATTGTTGACTTAGCACAAGGATGTTGTCAGTTAGCAGAAATTTTGAAAGTTCAATTATTAAGTGGGGTAGAGAACATTCATTTACAAAAAGAACTTAATACAAGTGGTCTAGATATGAAAACAGTTGCCGAAAAAACAGCAGAACAAGTAAGCTTCTTAAACATTCTAAAATCATTTACATAACCTTTAATTAATTTTACTGTTAATTCCTTCATATTTTATTTTGCTTATCTATGTGTAGCTGCTCATGAGCCCAACATTACTAATGTCAGGAAGGCAAGACGTGGCTTGTAGCGCAGTGATGGGTGCTGCTGTTGCAATAGGTGGCCAAATATTTCTTCCACAAAATGATTCAAATATAACTTGTTGCCCACATTGCAGTGGTGAAATCAAACAAATTTAAAATCTTTTTGTTTTAATACACTATCAGAATTTATTTAAAAAGTTATTAATATTTCTGTACTCTTTCCGAAGTATGTATATTTGAAAATTATAAATATGCTATATTATTTTTGTATTTAGATTTATTAATTTAATAATACCAACTGACAGACAATAAAAATGTTAATGCTTAATGGCTATGCATAATTATTAGAACTTTACTATTAGTGTTTAATATTAAAATATAGTTACATATATTTTGTAAATAAATTACTTTTTGTTGGTGGTAAAACTTTTGTGTAACTTTCATGTACAGATACATGTATAATAATATTCTCTATTTTTATATGAAATGCATGAAACCATATTAAGTACCATATTCAAAGTCAAAGTCGATACTTACCATATTTTTTTTGTGTAGAAAATCAATAATAGAAAAAGAATAATCCTCTACTTAATTATAATTTATAATATCGAATGCAGCAGTGCCAAATTTTAAACGAAACTTGCTCACGATGTTTAAATTTTATTCCTAACTTCGTACTATCGGTATCGAGAAACCGTTACTATGTTCACATACACTACTTCCGTAAGCATGCGCATTGGAAATCGGTTTCGGAAAAATGCTGTATTCCTCCTCTGGACAAACTTTCTAATGATAACTTTTCAAAGGTAATTACATTTTTATATTACCATGTTACAAATAAGACATTGTTAATAAAAACAATAAGTAATTTTTATGCTAGATACATTTAGAGCCATTACAAGATGCTCATCACACCACCTAAACAGAATAGTTGTTTAAGAAATTCAACTAACGAAAATGCTGAAGCTGCTGATTATAAGCCTGGAAAACGAAAACATTCTATTAAAGACACAGATCATACAATATCAAAGAGAGTATGCAAAGATTTAAAATTGCCTAATGGCTTACAAGATGAGTACAGACAAGATCTGATTGATAAATTGCCTAATCCTTGTCAGACCAATGAATATAGAAGTAATCTTCCTCATACTTTGATTAGATTTATGTATCAGTTAGAATTATCAATGTTTTGTTTAGTTAGAAAGTATATGTATAAACATAAATACTCTTCATTGTCATTAACATTTCGGATTTCCAAAATTGGTAAATTCAATAATATTATTTTTTGTTATAAACAGAAGTCTATTTATGTACAAATTGAAAGTGTAGATAAATATTACACAGATAGTGCTATTGGTTATGGTAGATTATTTGCTAATGGAAAACAAAGTTTAATTAATGATCATTTTGATAATTTTGTTAAATATGTAATTTTTAAACCATGTGATGTATCAAATACTATTGAATATCTTGTTTTCTTTACCAATTCAGATTTAGACCTCACAGAAGAAAAAAAATTAAAACGAAGACGATTTAAAAATTTTTATCCTTTTGAATTTTATAATATAAATATGGAAAAATCTGATATTTTAAAAACCTTTTTATTCACAAATAATAATGTACCAGGACGTGATTTTTATCAGTTTTCCCTAGATAAAAGAACAAAAGAAGAACTTTTAAATCGATTAAAATTTTCACCTACTATACAGGATGAAATAGAAAAAAGAAATTTTTCTCAGGAATTTATAAAAGAAATAAAAGAAGCTTTTTTAGATAAGTTAGTATTTGCAGTTAATCAACCTAATAGAGAAGAACTGAACAGTATTGTTAAAAGTGAAATAGCAAAAAATAGTAAGGTCCGAGACAATTATATTGCATTAAAAGAACAGATATTATGTAGCTTAACAGTTCTGGAAAGGGATAAAAGATATAATAGTTACATATCTGGGATGATATATGAATTTAATTTATTAATATCCTTCTTACATTCCATGTTCCTGCATAAATATATGTTTTCTTTAAATTTTGAGGGGAAACGACATGATGTATCTAATGACATTACTGTAAATTATAAAAATAAAATTACTTATATAAAGGTTTATACAATGACTAACAGTATTGATTATGATCAGTTATTTCCTTACAAACAACAGGAGAAAAAAAATATGTTTTCTGTCAATAAGCATTTTACTCTTTTTACTGAAGAATTAAAAGGAGAAGTAAGGTATTTTATTATTTATACAAATGCAAACCTAGATATTACAGAAGAAAACAGATTAAAGAAAGTAAAATCAAAACATTTTTATCCTTTAAAATTTAATAGTATCCATGTTCAAAAGAAGAAATATAAAATTTTAAGAGATTGTTCGTTTTTAGATACAAATGGTTTTTATCAATTTGATCAGGAAGAAACTACAAGAGAAGAGCTTATGAAGCTACTAAAGCTTCCTCCCTCTTTGCAAAAAGAAAAAGAGGAAGGCAGATTTTCTGACGAAAATGAAAAAGAAATGAAAGAGAAATTTTTACACAAATTGATATTTGCTGTTAAGCAACCTAACAAGGAAAAATTAGGTACCATTATTAAAAATGAAATAGAAACTGATATTGAATCTAATAAAGTGCCGTACAACTACGATGATTTACGTGAAATAGCGTTACGCTGGTTAGAGTCTCGTGAATATGGCCATATTACAAAGGAAATCATGGAAAAGCTTTTGCAAGATATTAAACAAAATAGATTCAGTTATAGGAAAGTTCAGACTGCAGATTTTGAAACAGTTAAATTTGCTAAATGTGTGGTTGGAAGTGAGGAAACGCCAGCATTTTATCAGTTCTGTGATTTTTTAATCAAAGGGGATGGAAAAAAATGTCTTCAAGTTATGCAGAAAAAAGAAGTAACGCTAACTAGTATGTCTAGTATTTTAACTGGAGTAAAAGCCAATGCTCCTAAACCATTCAAAGACTTGTATGATCTATGGTTTGACGAGCAAGGAAATGAAACTCAATATTTAAAAACTCTGAAAAAAGAAAAATTGAAACTCATTAATATGTCTAGTATTTTGAATGGAGCAGGAGTTAATGCCTCCAAAGCTTTTAAAAACTTGTATGATCTGTTGTTTGATGAACAAGGGAATAAAACTAAATATCTACAAACTTTAGAAAAAGAAAGAGTAAATTTAGCTAATGTGTCAAACATTTTAAGTGCAGCAGGAGCTAATGCTGTAAAAGCTTTCATAGATTTGTATGATACATGGTTTGATGCAAATGGAAATAAAACCCTATACTTAAAAACTCTGGAACAAAAAGAGATAAATTTGTCTAATATATCCAGCATTTTAGGTGGAGCAGGAACTAATGCTGCAAAAATCTTTAAAGAGATGTATGATCTATGGTTTGATGATAAAGGAGATGAAACGCAGTACTTAGAAACCCTAAAAAAACATGGAATAAAACTATCTAATATATCCAGTATTTTAGGTGGGACAGGAACCAACGCTCCAAAAACTTTTACAAACTTGTATAATCTGTGGTTTGATAGAAAAGGAAATAAAACCGTGTATTTAGAAGCTCTAGAAAAAGAAGGAGTTGGTGTAGCAAATATAACCAGTATTTTAAATAAAGCTCGAGTTAATACTCCAAAAGCTTTTAAGGATCTATATAGTCTATGGTTTGATGAAACAGGAAATAAAACTGTATATTTAAAAACTTTAGAAAAAGAAGGAATAAATATAGTTAACGTGTCTAGTATGCTAACTGGATCTGGAGTTAATGCTCCAAAAGCTTTTAAAGACTTATATAATCTATGGTTTGATGAAAATGGAAATAAAACTGAATATCTAAGATGTATAAAAGAACAAGGAATAAATATATGTAATATGTCAAATATTTTACATGCATCAGGAGGTAATGCTGCAAAAGCCTTCAAAGATTTATACGATACTTTGTTTGATAAACAAGGACGGAAAACTGAATACTTAGAAACTTTAGAAAAAGAAGAAATAAGTTTCTCTAATGTATCTACTGTTTTACGTGGAGCGGGAGCTAAGAGTGCGAAAGCTTTTAAAGATTTATGTGATCCTATATTTAATAAGCAAGCTAATCAAATCGATTATTTGAAAACTATAAAGAAGTGGAACTTTAGTATATCTAATATGTTCAGTATTTTAAGTGGATCAGGACTTAACGCTGGAAAAGCTTTTATAGACTTATATGATGCTTTTTTTGATAAAAATGGACATAAAACACCGTATTTAAAGCATTTCACAGAGAAAAATGATTGGGAAGAAAGTTTTACACCACATTGCTTAAGTACAATATTATACACAACAGGAACTAAAGCTACGGACTCATTTAAAAAATTACATGATGTTTGCTTTGACGACGAAGGAAACAGAACGAAAATGTTAGACGATTTCTACAAAGCAGGTTTTAAACCACGTGATATATCCCGCATATTATGGGGAGCAAGTACTCGGGCTTCTTCTATTTTAAAAAGATGGCATTGTGTCTTTTTTAATGAGGAAGGGGAAATAACAGAACTTCTAGATAGTTTTTATAAGGCAGGTTTTAGACCGCGCGATATATGCAACATATTGAATAGAGGAATAGATAGAGTACAAGAATTTTATGATTTTTGTTTTATAGATGAAACAAAAGAATACTTATGTCATTTTATAAATAAAGAGGGTAGTTTTTCATTAATCAATTTATGCATTATATTGCGCGGAGCAGGGCCTAATATTTGTAAGGCATTAAAAGATTTTCATGATATTTGTTTTGATGAATCGGGAAAGAAATCGCAGATTTTAAATGATTTTTATAAAGTAGGTTTTTCATCAAATAATTTATCTGATATATTATTCACAGCAGGATGTAATGCCGCTTTTATTTTTAGAAGTTTTCATAAATGTTGTTTTAATGAAGAAAACTATTTAGATCACTTCTTAGCACAGGGAAACATTTTTACGCCATACCGTTTATCCAGGATACTATGGGGAGTAGGAATTAAGATTTCTTTTGTTTTTAAGAAATTACATGATCTTTGTTTTGATAACATGGGAAACAAAACAAATTATTTAAATGATCTTATAAAAAAAAGTTCGCAAGAGCTAACAAATACACTCTATGTAAAAGTTAGGAAAGTTCCTTTATTTTTAAGTAATACATCAGTTTAGCAAAATATTAATTGGAAATCCAAATTAAGGAAGTATGGTTGATTTCACAAAGTAAACCAAGTAATACAAAAAATCTTACAGCAATTAGTTTTATTTACATTAGGTGATTTGTAATAATTCCTTTAAGAATAAAACAGTAGTAGAAAGCATGTTCATCGTCTTAAAGATAAAGTACGTTCTAAAATATGATAAAAATTGTATCAAAGACAATACTGGTTTTTTAAATGAGTTTGACAAATTGGGAAACGAAATAAATATTTTTTTAATATTCCAATGCTTAGAAATAATTTCGAATCCTGTAACAGTACATATTCTTTTATAATTGCTAATAAAGATCTTGTTTCATATTGTCTCAGCGCTGATGATTGCACATTTCACATTTAAATTATAAAAATATTGCAACCATTAGTTTCAGTATTATCCCTTGCAGAAAATACTTTAAATTTGAAAAACTTGACAAATTTTAAAAGTTAAAAATGATTCATCGTTCGAAAATTTTCAAATTTTTAAACTATGAACACTTCAAGCGATGAATCTGTACAACCAATATTAACAAGATGACTTCGTGTGAACTTATTTCTTGGTACTTCCGATCATCGAAACATCGTTCCCTTACTACTTCTGTACAAGAAGCTGCCCAAACTTGTTAAGTGAGCAATTTTATATGCACAGGCACAGATTTAGTCACCCTTGCCGTTTTGTATTCTATTGTACTTTGAAATTATGAATTATGTTTCTGATAAATGTCTGTAAGAAATTACAAGTATATAGAAAAATAGAATATTGAGATAAAACAATAAAAAGGAACATGTTTCTTATTTACTTATTTGTATTTATTCGCACAGCCTTGTTAAGTCTATACGGTGGTCTAGTCTATTCTATCTTACATCGGTAATTGGATGTCCAATCTATATTACCCTTTGTCGGTGTTTTTATGCGCCAATAACATTTTTAACTAACCTTACTAGCATAAGATGGCGCTACTATGTGGCGAATGGAAAACTCAAGTGTAGAAAACATTCCTACTGACAGATGGAACGATTCTATTTGTTGATAGATGGCAACACATAGAATGTATTCCTAATTTAGTGGAAATATGAAAACTTTTTAATTGCAAATATTAACGCTGGTTGTTTCGAAGTAAGCCCATTCTCATTTTAATTGTGCGTTCTAATCATTTTGGAATTACAGATATTTACTAAAAATAATTATTAATGATTGAATATTTTACAAAAGAGTTTATAACAACACTAACAACTTCTACGACAATTTAAAAGTATAATAAATGAAAATCATTGTCTAAAATTTATTATTTGATGTTTCTGTCGATTCTAAACTACTAATAACAAAATATATTTCGATTAAATTGTTTATAGACTAAATATCAAATTTTCATATCCGTTTCACATTTTTATTGTAAGATTTTTTTATAAATGAAGTAGCGTTTGTTTTCAACGCCATAAAGAAATTTTATTAATAACGTATATTTTATTTCTTAATGATAATTATATAGACTGAGATTTGTCGTATCAGAAAGATTTATAGGAACATTTTCCGGAACAAGGAACAGGAACATTTTCAAAGCTACAATTTACCATGGATACCAGTTTATCCCATACAGAACCTTGAATCTTGTGTCCTTGTACGGGACGACCATTTTTCCTTCCCCCTTCGGTTCTTGTCGCACTGCAACTCCCTTGCCCCAATAACCCAGTTATCAGTATGATTGAGAATCGAGATTGCCATTTCACGTTTCATCGATTCGTTTGCACATAGTTAAAAACTGAGTTATACTTATAAACGAGCGGGTCCTCCTACAATTTTACAAAAATTACTTTTATTGTAATCATCAGTTTGAAAAATTCATGGAAATTTCTTTCTCGCACGAAAAGAAGTTCTTTACGCATTTAAAACTCGCTCGATGAAACTTCCCGATAACTCGCGCTTACGGTACGAAAATTTTCATGGATCGTTCGTCTAAATGCTGTTTATGTTACTCAGGCACCTCTTTTTACTAGCGTTTGCGTGAAAATGCTTGGCGTGGTTATGAATATTGCGTAGAATACGTTCATTAAAAGTTTGTTACCTTGTTACCGCGGAGAAGGCTGCCACTCTGTACACGTGAAACGAGTTTCGCTACGTGGAGAGTTACATTTGTGAACTTACGTAAATACGTACGAGCATGTTTACATAGATACTGATCGCTATCTGCGTTTCCGAAGTTCGTCATTTCGGGGGGTGTGATATCAGTTTCGATGGATTAGCGCTAATCCACTGGACAGTGATCCTTTTTAAAATTCGCACCTCGATCTCTTTGATTTTATCGCATTAGCTAATCATTATTAATTACATTGAATCATACATTTGCTTATTATCTCTTTCGAATGAATATTCTACGGCTACATAATGTCTTTAAAAGAGATAAAGTGAATAAATAATATCTTCTATGCCGTTTTCAAAATTGTTCTAAGACATACGATTCAAAATTATACAATGGAGAATGGATAGAGCGAAATATTGACTTCCAGCACATAGCAATTACCGTAATTGAGAAGAACCTTTACTGTTTTTCGTTAGGCGCAATGATGGACTATTGGTATCATCAGAAATTCCAACAGCCATCTAGAGACACAACGCATATGAGTGACGCTATAATGCGTATGCGGCTGCATTAAAACATGCACAGACGGAACCTGCACGGCGAACACGATTATGCGCCTATGACAGACAATTAGACTCTACGCACCGACACGGGTAATATCGATTTGCATATCTACGCGTGCACGTGCGCTTGCCGATGAGGGAACCGGGAACGTTCAGGGTTCTACTGGGGTACAGGTGAAACATGACCCTATAGAAAACGGTCGACCTGTTACGAGCAACCAGGCAAACAAGTCGTTTTTTATTTAAGTGACAAAAAGAATGCACACGCGCGTGCAGTTCAAGGACACAAAATCAAAGCCAACTTAATGTACCATGAGGTTCGACAACAGTGCCTGTTAGCAGCCATATTTAACACGTTAATCGTCACGAAGTTCGAGCTTCTTTCCTATTATCGAACTGTCTTATGTCCTGTCATTTCTTTTCTTACAAATAAGTCAACTACAATCCCCGCGAATGATCACAGGTACAAAAATACATAAAGGAAACATAAATCTTTGTCAACGGCATACGTTTACGTGTAAAGAGTATACTCTTGCACACATAATTACCAGAAACTTCGTCCGAAAAAACACTCACCTTTGATCGGTGTATGCCAGCGTTACCTGTGTACAATGTTAAGTCGCGTGCAATATTGCTCATCGAGCGATGAGCAGGACGTCAGAAGTGTTTACAACGGGCACGGTAAATACGCGTCAATGTGAACAGCTTAACGCGGCGTGATCGGTTCTGGATTAGCGGCGGCCGACTATTTCTGTACGCCGTGCGCGTCGGTTTCGCAGCTTTTCGCGCGACTGTCTTTGACTGCTATCGGCGCGCGCGACGGGTGTCGTCGCTGCGAGGTCAGTGGAACGCCGACGATATAAATCGAGCGCTCGTTAAAACGTGACTTACGGCACTTTCACGAGCGACCGAAGTTAGCGGCGTGCTTGTAGCATTCCCCGTTATCCCCTCTTGCCCCGCTCGATTCACGCTCCGTCCGCTGTCTTCTCCCTTTCTCGCTCTCCCTCTCTCCCTCTCTCTCTCTCTCTCTCTCTCTCTCTCCCTCTCCCTTTTCCTCGCTGACCCTTCTTTACCTTGCTCTCCTCTTCCGTGACATCGATAACATTTTCTCTCTCGTTTCAATCCTTCATCATCCTTCATCCCCCTTAGACAGGCTACTAAACTCTCTAGCAATGACGGAAATATCATCCCCTAGTCATTGTTTATTCATGTTACTCACCGTTTTTATGGGAATATCATCCCTGGTAATAATAGAATTTATTAAGAGTTATGTGAAAGAAAGGAAACTATGTTTCTAATTAGTTACTGGTCTTCGGTGAAGCATGATTGAGGTAGGAGTCATCTTCACAGTACTATGGTGTTATTATTGGTTTCGAGGACTAGAGAATTCCTCTAGCCCTTCGATGTTCGTTACCGGGCTATTTCCTCTCTCGAAAGGAAACGTATCTCATCGTCGACGCAATGCACGCTATCCTACTAACACATCGTCTCGCAGCGCGCAAGGAAGGTCAGTCTATTAATAGAGCAACCTGGGATCATCGGGCTCTCGACCATCGAGAACTCTATCGTTGTCTTACATAATGGAATCTTGCGCTCGCTCGTTTAAGGCGCAGCTATCGGGATTACTAGGGAATCCTTGACAATGCCCATCGCGAAAGAGTGGATATTAAACCATCCCTAGATTTATACTGAACGCGGAAATAAAAATATATGTGATTTCGAGGATCGCCTTATACAGAAGCTCAAAAGTTCTGGTTCGTTTGAAAGTCTGCTCTTTTGCAGCGAACGCTGATGTATGAATTGTGTTAACAACATTGTTAAAGTTTACAAAGGTGTATCGTGCCCTTTTAGAAAAATCAGCTTAAGTTATTAAAAACTGTACACAAACTAATAGTAAAAAAAGATACGGGGCTACAAATAAATGAAATATTATACTTATTCTATCGTATCTCATCCTTCGTAATTAGTGTTACAATTAGTATTTATGACGTTCAGTTTGGAATATCAAACAATAACTAGAAGACGAAATGGATTAACCAAATGTTGTCAAACTAAAATCTGGAAACATTCGAAAAGTGGAGTTAATCACTTTGATCTGTGAACGATTCAATTAATTCGAACAATGGAGATTCTATTGTACGTGCAGGTAGCGAGGAAAGTTCGTTTCGATCGTCGAAAGGCCAGGCGCGTTTGTCGTTTCCATTCGGTTCGCGTATCCTCCGAGAGCGAAACACAATAGTACCGGCGAAGGAGGAAGCTAGTGGAAGAACTAGAAGGGGGTCGGCGAAGGCGGAGTGGTGGGAGCAAGAAGGGAAATTGTGTAATTTATTCAGCCGAGCAAGGGGCCAGCGTAGTTCGGTGTGCATGCGTAGATGAATCGGGTGATGTAAGAGAAGGGTGGCGCCAACCGTTTACACCGTGAATAAAAGTTCGCGTGTGCTTTCGGAAAGTGCGCGAAGAAGGGGGGTCGCCGCGGCGGAACAACAAAACCGAACGCAATCGCATGCCGACTCACAAACCGCTTTACGACGCTCGAGAAGGAACCGTCAGATTGAGGTTTTTCAATTTTTACGGGCCCCGTATATTTTCCGATCCACTTACATAATTGAATCCCATCGAATTATTCTCGCATCGTAGCCTTGATTATTCCGGCCGAAAAAAGGTTATCTCCGTTTACTCCGCGTCGCGGTCACGTTCGCTTGATCGATTATCGTCGAATTTCGCTCGTAAAAATTCTATCATCGTTCGAAACCTCAATTTTATATCGCGCTCTATCGAATAACAATAAATCGGTCGCAGTAGTTACTTCGCCCGCGATTTCATTTGTTTCCGCGTTCTGTTTCACTTGTTAATAACATTAACGACCGCAGTTTATTGACCCTAAAAATTCCGTCATTCGTTCACGGTTCCTATTTTCCCGAAATGATCGATACGCGAATAGCTGCCGCGAAGGCTCCCGGGATCGTGATGAGTTTTCAATTGATCGAAATTATCGGAACACGTGTCCCCCGAAACGACGAGGAAGCGACCGAATCGATCTCACCGGATTTATCAAATCGCGCGTTATGCGAAACAAAAACCAGAAGATAGGTACATCAATTTTCAGCTAGC